AAATACAGCAAAATGAACCACTGTAAAACAAATAAATTGCTAAATTTGACTAAAAACAAATGCTATACTTATAGACTGTTGCAATTTTTACAAATACATTAAAAAGAAGTTGAGGAGAAAAATGCCGGAAATGTTGGTCCAAGTGGAGTTTTACAATAAAAGACGTAACAAAAAGTCAGAGCCACAACAAACGGAGATAACGATGATCGCCGGACGCGACGTAGACGACGTAGAGGAACCGGATTACCGGATGCGTTCATTACGGCCATTTTATAAGCCAACATTGTAATCATAACGATTACATGATGCAAAGACAATTCTGATGTCGTTTGGACAAATTTAAAATCGGATAATGTTCTGATATGGACTGTTTTGTATATGTTTTAGTAAATCTGATAGATTACTAATTGTATTTGTATTGTTTTGTTTTTTTCCGCTACTATTAGCATGTGCGAGAACACTAACATTCAGTGCCAAGTGCTAGTGTTGATTGTGCAGTCAACATTAGACTTCCAAACTTCAACATATCCAAATTCTATTCATAGCCTGACGATGCCTCGTTCAGAGGCGAGACATATGGTCACAATATGGGTGTAGATCGGATAAGATCGAAGTTTGATCACTAGTAGGGAAGGCCGTAACGCTTCCGGAAGCGGTGATCAGGTTTCCGCACTGCATGTTTGTGGTGTCACATGCTAATAGTAGCGGAATTAAATAAAATAATACAAGTAAAGCACTTAATGAAATTTACTTCCACAAACTAACATCTATTAAAATAGTATATTATTTAATATCTACCGAAATATGATGTAAAACCACTTGAAAAAACAAAAAAATTCCATGATCAACTGCTTTTTTTGATATGAATTAAACTAAATATCTTCGTCAATTTTGAATCAATAATAATACTAAATAAGAAGGCTTTAATTTTTCTAATGAAAGGATTTATTTGGGTCTTAATCTTAATCATATGTTATTTTGATTATCGTCTACTTTTTTGTGACTCTAAACATTATTAAGAAGAGAAAACCGATAAATATAAGAAATCGTTTATCGGAACAATGATTTTTCTTTATACGTAATATATTAGAGCAATCTGGACATTTTATCATGGGTTTTGCCATCGGGTGGCATCGCAACGAGCGGTATATGAACCGGAATGGCGGATATCTGAAGTGCACTGTCATTATGATTCAAGAATTTCGTGTAAACATAGTAACTTTACGTTGGCTAGGAATAAAGGAAATATGTGGCCAATTATATTTTTCCTTCATTCCTAGCCAAAGTAAACAATAGCACAAAAATAAACAACTTCAAATTTTTACTTATATTTCTCTATACTATTATATTATATAATAACGTTCTAAAATGTGTCTGTCTATCTGTCTGTTAGCTACATTTTCACAAGTAACAACGGAAAGAAATAAGTCGTGTAATTTTGTACAAACAAAGGCACAGTAACAACCAATTTGTAATAGAGCAATTTCTAGATGCTTCAGTAATGACTGAACTTATAAGGCTAAGCGAAGCTTGAGACAGTACAACTGATAGAAATATTGAGATATTTTTTTTGTAAATATATATATAATATACACATAAAACACTAAATGAAAAACACTAAACCGCACGAGGAATCGAACCCACGACAATCGGAAGAAAAGCGGTATGCTAAATCGCAAGCCACCGAGGCCGTCATAATTATAATCACACATATTAAAGCTAAGTTTAGGATGAATGCAATTCCTTAATTAATACTCAAGTTGTCTGGTAAGAAGTGACAATATGTTTACACACCAGATCATTATACTGTGACAACATCGAATATGCTGTTAACCTACATATATATATTAGATAAACGAACGGAGGTTAATTCGAGTCACTTCCAATTCCACTTATTAGATTATGGGATTATCGCGCGCTGTAACGCTGGCTGGTAAAGGCGAGTACCGTCTGGGGAATAAATAGATTGATGTCTGCTTTATTTGACGCTAACAAAATGTGTTTTCTATCTTAAACACCCTCACTTATGGTTTACTATCCCATATCCTAAAGACCCCAAAGACCCCAAGTCGAAATAGCAAAGCATTAGATAAGTTAGAATCCAATAAAAAACAATATGTCAATTTAAATTACTACCGCCACTGTGATGGAAAAAACGAGAACAAAGCATATTAACGAGATCATGAGAGGCTATAGGCTCGCTACTCGCTAATTTGAATCAAATATGCACAGCGAAAAGTGGACATGTCAAGTGTTACGTTCACCACGATGTAGACAGTTGACAATTCCCGGCTACCCCATTTTGAATTATATAGTCATCAACATAGTGATCCATTTCGTTTACAATAGTAATCGGATACGGGATACGAAGTACTCAAGATGGAGTTGTAGGAAACGACCGGAATGAAGTGTTATTGTTATTATTCATCATTATCTAGGTCATAGATTATGTGTGCCAAATTGTATTAAAATCCGCTCGTCCGTTTATATATTAAAAAACCAAACAGACAAATTCTTCACAAACTTTATTTATAACGGCATTACTCACTGTTCTTCAATGTTTGGAATTTATACTATTTTATTAAATTCGATAGCATCAATTCGCAATCGATAATATAGAATTACCGTGAACAAATCGCACAGCGCCATCTAGTTTCAAACTAAGCAGCGCTCGGATGTGTACTAAATAGTGAACATTATTTTTAAACATAGAGAAATAACCAGACAAACCGAAATATTAATTTATATGTTTGTATTGTGCGACGATCAATCTCCGATGTACAAAAGCAAAATAACGCTCCATCCTACGAATGCGGGTAGTATTTCTAAGATTTCTCTCTAGCTGTGTTTTCCTAACCTAGATATTTCAGCAGGTCCCGATGTCCCATAAGTGGCAGACATAGAATCGTATGCCAGCTACATGCATACGTATATCATGAAACATATTTATATATTTATATTCTTTATATATATTGTAACATTACAACTTATACAAAATACGATGCGTATTCTCTACTAACCTTAAGATATAAACAGAAAACACCTTAAATAATTAATATTAAAAAACGTATTATGAATTATAATATTAAGAAGTGAATCAAAAACTTTGTACCTCTATTAACGATTTTTGCGCAAACAAAAGTTAATGTAAAGATAGAGTGCAAATTGTTAATATTTTTATTCATTATGCATAAAAAATACATTAAATCAATAAATAAAACATTACACACACTATCATTATATTACACGACTGATAACAAAACGTCAATGTCAGATAATGTCAATATTGTTAACTGTCAAATCAGCGAAGGAAGCAAGTCTTTGACAATAGAACTTTAATAATGTTCAAATTTATAATTTAAATTAACTATGGTCGATTTTGAACGAGCACTAATATTGATAGATATATATAGATGGATAGATATAGTATGTAAGTAAATTGACTCGTAAGTCCTGTAGAAGATCAACATTGGTATCAACCCTAAGCACGTCTGAAGCTCCGGGGCGGGTGTTTGCACAAGTTGCCACCTTGTTGACAATTTGCGAACACGAACGCTGTATATTGTGGTTGAATTACTAATAACAATGTTGTTCTGTCGGTTATTAGTACATTCAACACTTGCATTGTATCGAGAGTGCAGACTTAATGGCGGATATATGGACAATATAATAGAGGACTCAGTTGAATCCAATAGTTTGGTTAATAGTTTCTCGAATGTTAAGAGTGTTTATGAGCTTCATACCACAAGCTCGTACTGCCTGCATTAGCGGTTACTCATTGAAAATAGCTATATTATTTAGGTATATCCTACAGTATTACCCGCGTGGAATATAGCGTATATAATTCCCTTTTCTACGAGTGACTTTTTAAAAATCAAATAACTATGAAGAATGTTTTGATTTTTTATATGTTTAATTTTTAAAACACTTGAAACACTTTGGAATACTTTGTGTTTTGAAAATTACTCACAACATTTCAAAATTAGTCGCAGTTATAAAAAATGCCGGATGAATAAATAATAAAGAACCTTTGAAGTTTACTAATACTTTTTTAATATCAACATCTAAAATTAACGATAAAAATCGATGCTAGTTATTGCAAGTACTATTTAAATAAACAACAACTTTGTACAGAGTCATCTACATAGATACCTCTATATCGTCTATTGCTGCTGAAAAGCTTGATTTGCAAACTTTGTTACTGGTTCGAAAAAAAACATATAGCACTTGGTTATTTACATGATTTTGAAGACTGATAACAAAAGCAAAAAAAAATCTTTTGATCATGGAGGCCATTTTAGCCGCTTATGAATGTCAAATTTTTTGTATTACAATTTATTCCCCTACCACACTATGTCATTACTAAATTTCGGTTTCAGTCTATAAGAGTTTATAATAACTAAATTGAATATTCCCACTTCAGTCTGCTCGTAATAATCGGATAGTGCAAAAAGTGCACTAGTATCTTACTTTTACAATTAGTTTCATCCTCATTTATTAGTACCTTGGAGATTAAAAGATTCATTTCTTATAACCAAGTCAATAAATCAAAGAAACTGTATAAGTTATATGTGGTATCAGTATATATTGTATAACACAATATTGACAAACAAAGATACTTTTCAACTGATGGTAAACGGTTCCCTTCGCTTGAAACACCAAGGGTGTCGCCGACCCTTACAAAACCTTAATAAAATTAAATTAAAAAAGAAACAAAACTAACCCCACCTCTAGTCTAGAATAACATCGGCAAGTAGTTTATATCACTGACAGTACTGGCAAAGAAATTACTCTAAAACCTTAGTATATGTGATAATATTTTCTAAGATAAAACCTATGTTCATGAGGAATAACCTATCTCTATAAGTTTCATACTCGTAACTCCATATAATTGATATCGTATTACATACATCTATCTACCTTCACACCAGATCCCTTATATTATAGGCAGAGAGACTTTGACTTTCATTATTTTAATAATAAAATAGGTATCAACTCACCCCACGCCTCCGTTCAAGGGGGTGACCAGGCCAGGCCGCTCATAGCACATATGCATAACAGCAAGTTCCTTGCAATCTTTATATGAAAATCTTATTACATGAACACTGTACACTTAAACCAATTCACTGCTATCCCACACTTCAAATTGGTAACATTAATCAACACCGCGTACAAACATTTTGTACTGGAGTCAAATTTTTAATCAATCCGTAGTCCCGGCAGGTACTCGCTGCGGAACAAATTATTTATTTATTGGGGCGAATAAATATCACCATCGTCGGATGGTGTCAGTTCGATAGTCGACATCCATAGCACTTGATTGCCACAACTAATTAAACCGTGCACGCAAACCCATTTTTTTCTGTCCGCTTAATACTTTATTTACTTCCTCGTAGCTATTAAAATAATAGTAATCGACAATTTATGCACATAAAATTATATAAAAAACACAATTAAACAACTCAAGCTGTGTCTGATGCAGTAAGACATGATTTTCCTCCAATTCCTTATGTATGCTACAGTCAAAACTCCCAACCGGTCAAATGTAACTTTGACTGCAAAAATATAATTAGAATTTTATTTAGTACCTTTGACTATATTTTATACAAGTACAGTTTGTTCATGTAACATAAATAAATTGTATAATATAAAGAGATGAAGAAAATATGATATGATATAAAAATAAAATTAGTAGGGATGATGTAGTTTAAACACATTGACGGTTTGTGTGATAGAGGATATCATTTTAAAAGAAATATACATACAGTCATATGATAAGGACAGAAGCATAAAGAAGATGATGTTTTATGTACGTTTGAATACTTGACATTTTATCCAATTTTATAGCAAAATTAGTTTTTTTTTTATTTAATAAAACTTATCTAATTAGAAATACTTATAATTATTAATTTTTACCAGTCCAACGTAATTTTGATCAGTTATTGGTTTCAACTTACATGGCATTAATTGTAAAAATGCTTATTTTAATCACTATTACATAAATATGACTGATAGAAGATATCGAAATTATTCTGATTCCTTGAAACAAATAAAGGCATAGTTCATACTAATTACGTCATAGCTGATAAGTATCTACATCATATTGTGTCCTCACTTCTATAATATATTATTTATGAAAATGAATTAATTTAGTACATGATTGTGGCTTAATAAAAATTTATTATTATTATTACATTGTTTATATAATATATAAGAATAATATATTAAATATAATATATTGCAGCAGTTAAAATTTACCTACGTAACAAAAGATTATACCTTCAGCATACGATATTTGCTATAATGATACAATAGAATCCTAAATGATGATATTAAATAAAAATATAATAAAATATCGTGCGAATAGATCAAAACACATTTGCCTCCACGAGATGTGATCTCGAATTAAGAAACAGTGATTACTTGCGAAATTTCCGAGCTACGTAATGATTAATTGTGGTGCGGCGGGCCTACACTTTTTGCCTTATTTAGCTGGCAACACAGTAAATAGGATGCGGTTCTCGCTTTTTTCCGTAGGGTCATGAGCATCCATTACTCGGGTCTTTTCCTGCGTGATTGATATGTGTTTCGCGCCTATTTGGTCGCTACGATCTGTTAGATGCCACCCCTAATAGAAATCGGTGAGGTAAACTGTACAAATCTTATTGAATATGTATGGTATGATGCCAATACATAATACCAAGGATAGCACGTAACGCACATTATTATAATACATGGTGTACATGCGGGTACATAACACACCTTTACCAATGTCTGTCAAGGTTAACGCGTCAGTTTGAGGAAATTTTCAATACGAACCAAAAAAACTGTCCTACATTCAAGATATATTAACCCAGTTTACAACCGAGGTCATACAACTATAACAACTATAACTTCTACAAAGCATCTAAATAAACAAATAGCATCTATTCTGTAGTATATAAATTTCAAGAAATTGAAACAAAAACCGATCCTGCAAATTATAAACAAAAGAATTTTGTCAGGTAAGATAATAAAAACAAAATTCCTGGAGACATTACAACGAATATTAAAAAGGTAATGACACCATTTTAAACACTGAATTCCACGTAGAACAGAGACAAGATGGTTCGTTCAGATAACGCGACCCGACGAGACAATTCATTCGACGGTGGGCCTCTACCTCTACAAGTTTATTCAAAATGACCCCAAACTTGACGATCAATCCGACCGTGAGAAACTACCTAATGCTATGACATTTCAGATGACCACTGTCACTAACATCCCATTATCCAATTACGTATTCTATTGTTATTCTAATATGTTCTTGAGGAGCATTTGGTCCTCGAGAACTATTACTATTACTGTTTAGAATATTTTTTAAAATAGTACACGCACGTACATAAACACTAAATAATATTTAATACAAATAAAATCATTACTGTATGACGCTTATCTGTTTTAACCTTGTATTTATTATACAGATATTAAAACTTAAGATAATACTTGTACAGAGCTTGTTGATACAATAACAAGTTTAAATGAAATAGTGGCTAAATTTAAATTTTGATAAGCCAAAGCACAATGTCTGCACTTGAAGGAAAAATTAACAAAAATTAACGATAAGATATTTATAAAAGTCAAGGAAATTAATGAACCAGCAAGTGGTCCAATGTTGTTTTAAAAGAAAAATATAAATAAAAAGAGCAGCGTCTATTACGTACAGTCTCTTGGAGGCACACAAAGGTTAATAATGTTAAGTGAATTATATCGCCGTAAATATTGAAACTGTAATTGCCATTGTTTGCAAAGTAAGATCAGTAATGCCAAAGTGGCGCCACACAGCGGAACTACTGCGGACTATAGCAAAGTACATATTATTATTGCGCGACAAAATGAAGTCACGTCAAATACTTACACATTTGATAAGACTTGAATAATTCAGCCAGTTTTACCTCTAATGCATTCTTTCATTACAGTTCAATTATGTTATGAAAGAAATTAAACTTTAAAACGAATTAGAGACAAAAGAACACCAGAAGCAACTGTGGTGCATTCATACCAAGATTCCTTCTAAAATTATCTACTGTGTATATTTCAGTTTTATTTGTTTAAATTTCTGTACAACCTACTTTTACAATTCTAAACAATTAAATTGACATCTTTGATGAGCTTATTATTGAATCGCATCGAGATATCGAGACATTTGATAATAAATATGTTTTGGAAGTAGGTTTTTCCAATTTCAAGAAGTTAACAATTGCTGAATTGATCGTAAGTATATCATAAATAATTCCCAGTTCTAGCAATCAAGTGCGTCATGCATGAGTCAACATCATGAACCATCATACGATGGAAACATACAAAAATCCGTGGAAGTGGCCGCGTTCGATTCTTACAATCCAACACTGCAATCCAAGTGATCACTGGTAGTTCACGCAGATTTCACTGTGTCGCCGAGACGACTCATACATTCGCCGAGCGCGTTGACAACACGCATGCATTCCGTACACGAATGCAGAACGCATCACGAACGTCGCTCACGTTCGCGCGAAAACGCGCCAAAAGCGAGTTCCCCGAGTACCCTTGATGGGAATTCTCAGTGGAGACACGCGCGAAACGTTGGTACACGACCAAACTGCGGGCGACGACGTGCTCGACTGCCGCCGCGTCGCTCGACGCGGGGCGGGAGCGACGTACGCCGCTCGCAGGTTATCGTGAGTCGACTACACAGATAATGATGTCAAAAGTGGATCGCACTAATGCTCTTTATTATGTTGTAAACGTTCCGAATATCCCAAGATGAGATGCCGAAAGTTGCCGCGTCAGGGCTTCCTTAGCATTTGAAACTGATCTGTTGAATAATTGCTGAAATCAACATTTAATCTTTGGACATGGATATCTATTGGCGTGTTAATAATCGAGAAAATTATCTCATATTATCTCATTATATCTTTTTTACAACATAAACGCTGATTTAAATAATAGTCCTTCGTGTTTTAAAGAGCAAATATTTTTTTATAACAAATATTATTATATTAACCATTATGTGGAAAATATGACATACATTCTATTTTCAAAAGTGCAACACACACATGTTTGTAAATTGTACCAACAAAGAAATTATTAGCACAGAATATCACTCATCGAAGTGAGCGCGCGCCCGACGCAAAACACCGGCCGTAATTTTATTGTCCCACGCTATTTGGCTCCTACAAAGAAAAATGAATCTTAACACAAATCCACTGGTCAACAATTTGTTTACGGCCACAAGAAAGTCACGCACGTTTATTCAAAACGAATGTTGATAATTTTCACAACCTTCCAAATGTATACCGTATCGTGATTGTATTGGAGTCGTTAACGCACCACCTGCATTAACGCGTTTGACACATTTCGTTTCAATGCAACTTAGAACATATTACACAGGTTGTAAAAGACATCATATTTATAAACAATAATAAGGTCGGAATTAGTTCGTTAGAGAAGCGAGGTCGCCGCTTATTACGTTTAGCAACAGTCAAGATGGTAGTTTTAAATATTTGGTTATTTATGAAGCAAACTGTGGTTGATAGATGTTTTAATCGAGCGGGGATTTTGCAGTGGTTTTTGTCAAGAATCGTGACTCGGAAAGCGGAAAAGTGAATGCTTTTCCTTCTGTCGTAAACTTTGAACATCGCAATATGGCAGCGGTAGTAATTTCGCGCATTACGTAATAAAAATCTTAGACGTAATCAACATGGCGTCTAATTATCACAAATTCTCTGTAGAGTTTATTAGTTTGCATTTGCGTTTCACATATTAATGTTACTTTGTGACGTCAATTATGATACAGCGATCGAACCAATTACAGCAAGTGCTGCTTCCGAATCTGAGAAGTTTGCGAGTGGTGAGATATCGGCCACTAAGTGGTACATGCATAGATAACTAATTCGTAGTGACCCAAATATCGGGTAGCAAGTGATGTGAGCCTGCGATGCCGAAGCGGAAATAGGCGGATGATCCCGAGGGAGGGACGAGGGAAATTTTAGGGCCGCAAGGGGAACATGACAGTGGCGTTGGAGGCACTTTCCACTGTTCGTGTGACGCTTGATTGCGATCAACCTTGTTTTATTGATGTTATCGGTGTACACGTACCCTAATATTAGAGTTT